GATTAGTCTCTTTAGAATGATTTGTTCAATTAGCTTTGTAGAGATCAAGTAGAGTGCTGTATGAATGGGTAAAGGAGGACACAGATTGTAGTGTAAAGCGCTTTGAGTGTCTCAATAAGATAGAAAGGCGCTATATAAGTACAGTCCATTTAGAATCAGAATCAGAATAAACTTTATTTGCATTGCACCGAGATACAACGCGAATATGTACGTACAGTCATCCGAAGACGGGCGGAGTGCACGAAGCTGCGGCTATAAATAATTAGCGCGGCCTTCTTATTCTTAATAATATTTTGTTTAGATAAGAAAAGGAAAGAAAACATGAGGAGAGACGGTATAAAAAAAAGATCTCTCACACCGTGTCCTAGATGGGGCACAATTTGAGGCATCAAAAAAATCTACCACAGCAAAGCAACATAAACAGACATTATACATGTACATATAGGCGGTGAAAACATTGAATTTTTAAGGGAAAGTCATAGCATAGTCCAGAGCCCCCCCCCCCCCCCCCAGCCATTGTCCAGATAAGAGGTGACGTTCATCTTCAGCTCAGTTGAGGTTCTGTTACATGTCCACGGCCTTGGGGAAGGGAGGGGTGAGGAAAAGAGGCTTTTTAAGGGTTCACAGGACAAAAGAGCGCAGCAGGGAAGCGGGTGGGGGGGGGGGGGGGAGAGGGAAAACACGTCTGGTTTCACCATAGAATAGCAAGAAAAAAAATATTTACCATTTAAAATACTGGAAAAAATTATCAGGACCTCATTAATATCTTTATTGATGCTTATAAAGGTAAATCTTATAAGAAGAGACTGTCCAGACTATATGCGTGCTTAGAAGCCAATAAAAAAACATCAACATTATATATTAAAAATACATGGGAAAGGGAGGCAAAAATAATGCTGACAGAGGATGTGTGGCTGAACATATGCCAAACGAACTCCACCACCACTAGCTCAGGACAATGGAGGGAATTTTCATGGAAGAATATTGTTAGGTTTTTTATAACCCCCAAAAGAGCATTCTCTCAGACCGGCAGAGTTGAAGCTGGGCATTGTTGGAGACAATGTAACAATGTGATGGCTGACCACTTTCATATTTTCTGGGGCTGCCCATTGATTTATCCTTTTTGGTTAAAGGTAACCAAAGAGACAAGAGTAATTCTTGATTTTGAAATCGAGCACAATTTTCAAACGATATATCTAAGTAATTTACCAAATGAACTCAACTTTCAGGATAAGTACCTTTTGAAAATACTACTGGTAGCAGGAAAGAAATCTACAACAAGAAAATGGCTTAGTGGGAGCTCACTGACAATGAGAGACTGGTCAGCCACTGTAGAAGAAATATGTGAAATGGAAATGTTTACCTTCTCCCTAAGTCTCCAGGAAAACAAAACTAAAAAATATTGGTTGAAATGGTTAATATATAGGAACCCAAAAGTAAGTTGAGTGACATTAATTCATTATTCGGGGTGGTAAATGGGGTTTGGTGTTGAGTGGTTTACAGGTCTTGGTAAATCTGGAAAGAAATTTCTACCTGTTTGACTCTTCATGTAATTTACATACATTGTAACCTGTTTGTTAAAAATCTACCTGTTTTAGTTTTATCTTTTTGTGATGTATTGCTGTCCCCCTCCCTTGGTGACCTCTCTGTTCTGAGTGCTGTTTATTGTCCTTGTTGTGATTTTTTATTTTTTTGTTGTTGTTATGGTTTGCCTTGTATAAAAATCTCATCAAAAATAAAGTATTAAAAAAAATTAATATAACGAGTAAATCCCAATAACTCAAAATGTTGTAGAGTCCTAACATTCTACTAGTATATATAGCTATAAGCGATTTTAATTATTTTATTTTATTTTAGGACAGCTATTAGTATGTGTCATACCATCTCTTCTCGAAGACCCCTTGTCAAAGGGGATCCTTGAATGATGAAGCTGGTGACAAGCATCCCTCAGTTGCTTTTGAAGAATGTTTCATACTGCATTCAATAAAATCCAATCTTGGAAACTTGAGTTGGCTTTCAGGTCCAGGCTGAGCTGAGAAAAATTATTTTCCTCTTCGGAGCTTCAAGTTCCCTTTAGTTACTGAATGTGTCAATAAACTGTCCTTTAAAACTCTCCAAGTGCTTCAGCCTCGATCGTTAATGCTGAGCCTTTTTATACATTTGTCTGCTTATTGTGTAATTTCTGCATAGCAACAATCCTGGATACGGACTATTCTACAACGTCAGATCACACGTTCAACGTCACTGTCATTGCTAAAATCATCTTTGACTGCCACTAGGTCCGTCTTCCTGTTTTTCTGCAGAGAGCTTCCTCTTTTTCTGAGAAAGCCTCTTCACTTAAGGTATCTTGTTCCTGTTTTCTGTAGAAAGCTTCCACTTTTTCTACAGATAACTTCCTCTTTTTTCTTCTACTGGCCTGGCCATCTGTTCAGACTTCCACTTCCTGTGATGACTTGACACACGAACATTAAGCTGTTAACTTGACCTTTTGACTATCAATTTTCTTCACTGTCAGTAACTAATTAATTTATTCTTAATCATTTAAAGTTAATTCACTTTCCATATAAGATTTCCCAATAATCTCTTAATTTAAGCGCTATAATGTCTTCAACATTGATTGATTAAGTCTTAATTCATAGGATTTTTTTTCCCTCCCAGGCTCTGATCGAGGTGGCAGCTACTGTTTCTCCTCCCCCGTTTTTTTCCTTCTTCCTGCTCTGCTCTCTGTCTGTCTGAAGCGCCTGGGTCTCATCTCCCGAACATAAATTAAGAAGATTATAGATTTGGTATTGTGGGCGTTCAACTCTATTGATAAGATTTTTTCATCAAAGTGACAAGGTCCTGGGGAACTGACATGTCCAGCTGAGACTCATGCTGTGGGGTACATCATGGATTTGTGGGGAGTGTGGCAATCGATGTGCATTACAGTCCTGTCTCAAGAGGATGTTGAAGACGTTTACATATTTGGACTTATGATAGCAGGGACTCTGCTTTTTGGCATCGGCGGGGCTCTGTTTTATCGACTTTTGAAAAAGACAGCAGGAGCAGTTTTGGCCATGGAAAAGCTTCCGTGTCAGTGTGAAGGTCTGTTCCTCGCTGTGGGAACTTTAAATCGTCTGGTCTACGAGCTTAACCGTAAGGTGGAGGCGATTGAGAATCGCAGACCACCTGTGGCTTCTGGGACTCGTCAGTGTGGTGGGTTCGACCTTGAAGGAGACTCATAGCATGGATCAGTGGAATGGAATCCCACAATTAGGCTTTTTCGGAACCAGAACACCCAGATGGACTCAAGGCTGAAGAAAAATAGCTGTCTGCTTGAAGAAAATCAAAAATCAAGCTTATCTGAATCAGACTCCCAATGGCCTCGGAGACAGGCTGACTATCAAATTTCTCCTGGGACATGAGTACCCAAGGACAAAAGCTTCATCTATCACCCCCCCCCCACTCCCCACCCCCCCACCCCCAAGAACTTTCTGTGCAAGCTTATCAGAACTGCTGGCTGAAAACAACATCCTCAGAAACTGTGGCTGATCTGAAAAAAAGCTCATGGACAAATCTCAACACCTCGATGTCAAATGCAAATGTAATCATGTTTTAATTGTGATTGCTGGTAGAGTTTTTTGATGTCTCAAATCGTGTCCCGATAGACAAGATGTGAAAGATCTTTTTTTGTAATACCATTATCTACCCTCATGTTTCTCCCCCTTTTCCTATCTAAGATTATTATCTGATAAGGATAAAATGGCTGCGCTCTCCTGTAGTTGCAGCTTTGTGCACTCCGCCCATCTTTCGGACGACTGTACATACATATTCGCGTTGTACCTCGGTGCAATTCCAATAAAGTTTATTCTGATTCTGATTTCACACTCTTAACACATAGTATATTAGAAAGACTTCACACACTGTTACATACTATTATTTAGATTTGTTTCAGTAAATAAACCTTTGCCGTTTTTTTTAGAAGTTTCAGTAAATAAATCTTTCTTGCTTTTTTAGAACACATACTCAGCGATCTGTGGTTTATACTGCTCTTAACCTTATTTTAGGTCATGAGAACTGACTTCATACCTCTCGTGAAATGCCCATCACTTGACAACTTTGATGTTAAATCAGCTGTATTTCACCTGGTTGGCGCGGCAAAATGCAGCTGATTTGACATTTGCTCCAGTAGTTCCGGAGCAAGACGAAAGTAGATTTATATGGCAAGCCAAATGTCTCATTAATAGCCACTTTTACCTATTAATGAGACACTTGGCTTGCTGTATTGGTCAAGGGCCCTCTAGTGGCGAAAATGGTAGTGTTCAATATTTTCAATGTCAGAATGAATGAAATCGACAGATCTCAGCCAAAACTCGGGTTATAAATATGGGGAAAAAAAACGTAAATATGTCGCTTCACTGTAAAAGTCACAGGCATACTAATTTATGCAAAAAACTGCAACTTATACAGTGAAAAATATGGTAGGTCTGTGTTACGTGCAACAGACAGACAACAGCAACACCTTTGTTCAAGGCTTTGAAAAACTAAAGAACACAAACATTTTTGAGGAAAAAAAGAGCAACAGATGAAGCATTGTGTGGAAATAAAAATGATTAAAATGAAATAAAAGGCATGTCAGTAAAAAACTATGTCACCATACATTGTGACAAAACTGTAGCAATAAGAGTTCTGACTGTTTTAGTGTAATCAAACTACAAAACCACTTATATGTGGATCATTAACTTCTTTATGTGATAAATATGTCTCTGATATGAAATATGGTTGGAAGGCCATATTTGAATCTTTCAGTTTTGTTGATCGTTCTCTTTTTTTATTTAGTATGAATGATCTGGTTTTAGAAGTTAGGACAAGGTTTCCACCTACTGGACAATCCTTATAATGATGGGTTGTGAAATTAAACTGTACATAAAGTTCTGTTATCTTACTTTAAATTTTCTTGAGAAAATTAAAGTTTCACTTCGTAGTTGGTGTTGTAAATATGTAATAAAATATTAAAATACCTTCTGGCCTTGCTTTTGGTTTTTTCAGGCCTCCGTCCTGCATCAGTTCAAAGGCAAACACTACATTGTGAACCTAAATGGAAACAAAAATATAAGTTATTATTATTTTATTTTTTAATCTTTAAGTTTTGTACATTTTTAAGATAAAAAAAAACCTTCTGCTCAAAGCTCTCAGGAGTCAGGAAAAAGTTGTACAGAGGTACAAAATAATCCTCCAGCAGCCCCATCAGTAAAATTAAGTACACTCCATCTGCAAACTGAACACACACACATTTATTCACATCTTCACACACTTTCAGCTAAAATACAACTTAAATACAACACACCCACTGTCATCTACAGAAAATAACTTAAATAAAGAAAACGTGCATTAAGGAGACAGTAATAATAATAAACAATCAGTTGACTGGGCTGACAGAGAACATTTTATTTTCTTACCTGAGATTCCAGCTCAGTAACCTCCAAGTTCAGCTTGTTTAGGTGTTTGTTCACAAAGGTGATAAGTGACTAGAAAAATACAAATGTATGTTAATTCCTACAAAATCTGAAATACATATTGCGCATGGATGTCAGTGAGGTTGTGTTACCGATTTGACAACATTGAGCTTTTCAGGAGCGTGATCCAACAAAGTGTCAAATGCATCCCTCTCTGTTGGGAAAAAAATACAATTCAAGATCATGACAACGGCTCTAACTACAAACAGATAACCCTTTTTGAAGTGTTGGAGTCATTTCAGCACTGACAATCAACACCAACCTCATATGTACTGGAAATACCAGAAGATGCTACATTTGAGAGAAAATCGTTTTTTTGTGTGTTTAAAAAGTAATCATTTTTGCTATTCTCACTTGAAAACTAGTCTTAAATTTGCTAACTATTGTAAGTTTTTTAAGTTGCTCCGAGGTCTGTTTTTTTTTGTGTGTGGGGGGGCACTACTTGTTTAAAATCCAAAATGTACTTTCGTTATTATGAGTTGCAGTTTTTATGCAAGTACTCTCTTTGTGGAATTAACTAATTAGATTTGATGTTAGATATTCCAATATTTATATAGCCTCCCTGGTAAGGTCTATTCAGGGGTACTGGAGAAGCGAGTCCGATTGCTGGTCGAAGCTCAGATCCAGGAGGAACAATGCAGGTTTTGTCCTGGCCGTGTAACACGGGACCAGCTCTTTACCCTCACTAGGGTCCTCGAGAGGTCATAGGAGTTTGCCCATCTTGTCTACATGTGTTTTGTGGATTTGGAGAAGGCTTTCGACTGTGTTTCTCGGGGTACACTGTGGGGGGTGTTCCGTGAGTATGGGATTGGGGCCCGTTGTTATGAGCTGTTCAGTCTCTATACAAGTGGTGTGAGAGTTTGGTTTGCATTGTCTGTAGTAAGTCAGACCCCTGCAGGGTGGGAGTTGGGCTCCACCAGGGCTGCCCGTTGTCATAATTCTGTTCATAACTTTTATGGACAGAATTTCTCGGTGCAGTCAGGTGGTAGAGGGAGTCCAGTTCGGTGGCGTTCGGTGGCCTCAGGATTCCATCTCTGCTCTTTGCAGATGATGTGGTCCTGTTGCCGTCATCGTGCCGTGATCTTCAGCTCTCACTGGAGCGGTTCGCAGCCGAGTGTGAAGCGGCTGGGATGAGAATCAGCACCTCCAAATCTGAGGTCATGGTCCTCAGTCAGAAAAGGGTGGATTGCTCTATTCAAGTCGAGGGTGAGGTTCTGCATCAAGTGGAGGAGTTCAAGTATCTCTGAGTTTTGTTCACAAGTGAGAGAAGAATAGAACATGAGATTAACAGACAGATTGGTGCAGCATCTGTAGTATTGTTTACTCTGTACCGGTCCGTTGTGGTGAAGAGAGAGCTGAGCTTTAAGGCAAAGCTCTCTGTTTACCGGTTAGTTTACATTCCTACCCTCACCTATGGTCATGAGCTCTGGGTAGTGACAAAAAGAATGAGATCGTGGATACAAGAGGTTGAAATGAGTTTCCTCTGCAGGGTAGCTGGACTCTCCCTTAGAGATAGGGTGAGAAGTTCAGCTATCTGGAGAGACTCAAAGTAGAACCGCTGCTCCTCGTCATCGAGAGGAGTCAGTTAAGGTGGTTCAGACATCTGGTAAGGATGCTCCCTTGGCGCCTCCCTAGGGAGGTGCTTTAGGCATGTCTGACTGGGAGGAGACCTCGGGGAAGACCCAGGATGGGAACGCCTTGGGGTCCTCTTAGAAGAGCTGGAAAAGGTGGCTGTGGAAAGAGATGTCTGGACCTCCCTGCTCAAGCTGCTGCCCCCGAGACCCGACTTTGGAACAAGCAGAAGATAATGGATGGGATGGATGGATAGATGGATATTCCAATATTTGGGCTGCTGTTGTTCGACATATTATTTTTGCACTATTAAGTTTGTAGCATATTCTTAGTTCATATCTTAGATCTTATTACGTTTTTCTTTTACATTTTATACTTTTGTTGGCTGTAACTGGGACCCTGTGTACACAGTTTCATTCTACCATATGTACCACATGTGGTGTGAATGACAATAGGGAACCTTGACCTTGATTTGGGGGTATTGATTATTTCTGTTTTACAGAATTGTTTGCTGTAAATTTTGTGGTTCTAACTATAAGTTCTTTACTTCAAATAGTGATTCAACACCTTTTTTTCTAATTGCTGAACTTCTTTCTGTGGACTGTTTGTAAAGGGAGTTACCAAATTAAAGCTGTGTTTTAAATAATTTGTTACATGAAAGTGAGTTCATAACGTCACTCACCAAATCGTCCCAGCATCATCCTAGAACACCAAAAACAACAACAACAACAATATATATATATATATATATACATATATAATTTTTCCAATTCTTTCTCGTAGATTCTTTGTCCTTTCCTCACTTTGTCAAACATTAAAATTGTACAGCTTACACTCAAATGTTGTAAAAGATGAGGATGACTAATTAAAACTCTTACTCTGTGGTGCTCGTCAGCTCCTTGGTCACTAGAGCAGTGTGCAGGATTCCTTCTTTCTTCTGCACAGAAAGAAAAACAAGTCTCTGAATTGTAAATGGACTGTACTTATATAGCGCCTTTCTATCTTATCGAGATACTCAAAGCACTTTACACTACAATCTGTGTCCTCATTTACCCATTCATACAGCACTCGACTAGATCTATACAAAGCTAATTGAACAAATCATTCTAAAGAGATTAATCAGAGCTTTATCACATTCATACACTGATGGGACACACATCGGAGGCAACAAGGTGTTCAGTGTCTTGCCCAGGGACACTTCGGCATGTGACTGCTGGTGGATTCGAAACCCCCAACTCTTGCATTGGAGGACGACTGCTCTAACCACTCAGCCACAGGCACCCATAATTGTGAGCTGAGAAATAACTTTCACCTCATTCTAAGGTACACCTGGGTAAAGTTTGGCTTGAAGGTCAGAAGTGACCCTTGGACTGTCTGTCCAACATGCCAACTTTGCTGAAAATTATTTATCAATGGCAAAAAAAAAATAAAAAAATGCATTTTGAAAGTTTTTCCTCTATATCTACCTTTAATAATCTTCCTGCAAATCAATCAGTCTACTAATATGCAACAAATGTAAGAGACAAGACTTTTACTGACTGTATATATACAGATGATGTGATGTTGTGTACAATATCTGAAGGTTTACAAAGGATTTCTGTGGTTCAGTTTCAAGCTTGGCCTTCTGACCTTTTTAGCTTTAAGTCCCCTTGAACTAAAGTTTTGCCCACCCATGAATTATGAAACCTTATTATATTACTGTTTAAAACTGGCTTCCTCTCCGCTTAGAGGAACCTTTAATAAAAATCTAGCAATACTATTAAACACATTTTTGCTTAACTTTCAATTTCAGATTATATTTGTGCTTTTAATTCTTCTTCATTACTGCTTTTTTTAAAAATGAGTTTAAAGTGATTTACTGAACACAAAATCAAATTTATTGTGCAAAAAGAAAGGTACCAGTACATATCTGTTCCATTCCTAACTGGTTGGACACGTTGGTGGAATACACTACCTTGACTACCACCAGCTGGACAGAGACATGCTCAGGTAATCTGATGGGGGCCTGGAAGTGGATGGCAAGAGCAACCAGAAGGTAAACGATTGCCACCAGGTTCTTTGAATGGATAGCTGTGAAGACAATGATAATTAAGGCCCACCAGTTGGAAAACACCACAGCTTATTGGGTGAAAAAGAGCACATCCTTATTTACTGTAAAAATTCTTATTATTTTAAACCCTGAACAGAATTACTGTATTTTTCGCTGTATAAGTCGCACCTTTTTGCATAAATTTGCAAGTCCTTCGACTTATACACTGAAGTGACACGTTTTTTTCTCCATATTTATAACCCAACTTTTGGCTGAGATCTGACAATTTCATTCATTCTGACATGGAAAATATTGAACACTATCATTTTCAGCTGCTAAAGGGCCCTTGACTGATATGGCAAGCCAAGTGTCTCATTAATAGGTAAAAGTGGCTATTAGTGAGACACTTGGCTTGCCATACAAACCACCTATGTCTCTCTCCAGAACTCCTGGAGAAAACATCAAATCAGCTGCATTTCGCCACGCCACCCAGGTGAAAGTTCAACTGAGACACACCTTTGCTATAATGTCGAGCAAACAAATAATTATTTTAGGTGGTTATCTTGTTACATTTTGAAGAAATGCACAGCAAATCATCACTCTGTGTTCAATATGCTTAAAAAAGCCAAAATAAATAGACGACTACATTATACTATCAGTGTACTTTGGTTTAAGCACAGTATACCCGCTACAAAAATGTAGACTACACCACTAGCTAATTTGACCGTCAAAGTGCATTTATTAAGGAAAAGTTCAACTAAGACACACCTTTACTATAATTTCAAGCAAACCAATAATTATTTTCAAGTGTTAATCTAGTTAAATTCTTGTTAAAGTCCTCTTGTGCATGCTCCCTCGGCCGCCATTTGGTAGCCAATCAATTTTTGGCACAACACCGGCCCACATTTCCAGGTGGTTAGCAATGACGCATAATAGATGTGACTTATGTGGCAAAGTGATTAATTTATGTTTTTTCCTAATTTATTAGACATATTTGGACTGATGCGACTTATACGGTGGTGCGATGTGTACGGCGGAAAGTATGGCACTCATCCCTCAAGAAATTAAGAAGCTATTTAGTTTTCCAAATGTCATACACAAACGTTAAAAGAACTTGACATTTTGGAGGCATAAAGTAATCTACTGATACAGACAAACAGTAAAAAAAAAAGTTTCATTATTTTGTTGACCTACACTATAACACAAAAAGTTCAGATAGCTCTCACTCCGTTGCTTCAAGTCAGATCATTCTGGGGTTTTTAAGAGATCTCCACCTTTGCTGGGGAGAAACTCATGTCGTGACTTTAGGCAAACACCTGGACTCAGCGTTATAACTCACTGTCCACGCTCCACTCAATGCTCCAGCCGTGAGGCCTCAGCAGACGGTTGACAGCCTCCAAAACGGTCTGAAGCTTCTGCTTCTGTCCGATCTCTGACTGGGTAACCTCCGCCACGTTCAGCTTCCGGCCCGACAACTTCTCTGTCACCAGTGAGAAAAGTCATCACACTTGCTCAAATTCACAATAAAACACAGTCCAAGCAGGGAAAATAATCATAAACACTTGGTTACATTAGAACTGTGTCAAAATGACAATAAAAAAACAACAGCAAAACAAAAAAAGGAGCATCACATTTAAGTTCATGATAGATAAAGTTACAGATGTGCCTGAAAGTAAACAGAACTGTAGATTTAGAAAAATACGGAGAATAATCTTGTAAAAACTCAGTGAACGCAGAAACGATGACCTACACAACTTTGAGGCAGTAATTGAATGTTAGGATTTAGGAAAACTAGCTTAAGTGTGCATATTCAGGTAAAATTTCACGTATGTAAAAAAATTTAATTAGGAGCAGCACAAAAAGCAAAAGAAGTGAAAAGGTTTAAAGATCTTTAAAGATGCAAAAGTTAAATCTGGTCCTCTGGACATTCAAAAAACAAAACAAAGCAAAACAACAAAAAAATGTAGAAATGTTTCGTCTTTCATCCAAAAGACTTCCTCAGTCTGAGGTGCTGTATTCAGCTCAGTCTTATAAATAGCACCTTCTCAGAGTGGATCAACCAGTTTTGCTGCTGACAACCAAAACCAGCTGCTCACATGATCAAGAAGGACCATCAGCCTAACGATGGATCATTAGCACCCTGATGGCTGTTTACTATTCACAGAGGACTGAGTGATACTAGCTAGTGATACTAGCAATAACAGCATTGTAAGAGGGGGACAGATGAACACCCCTGTTTAATGATGGATGATTTCTTTTCTGGATGTTGTAGAGTTGTGTTGGCTTACGCGACTCTGCAATATTGCGTGGACATCGGGGGAAGTTCCCCTGGATTGGCAGACCGGGGTGGTGGTCCCCCTATTCAAAAAGGGGGACCGTAGAGTGTGTTCCAACTACAGGGGAATCACGCTCTTAAGCCTCCCTGGTAAGGTCTATTTGGAGGTTTTGGAGAGGAGGGTCCGTCGGATAGTCGAACCTCGGATTCAGGAGGAACAGTGCGGTTTTCGTCCTGGCCGTGGAACACTGGACCAGCTCTACACTCTCAGCAGGGTCCTGGAGGGTGCGTGGGAGTTTGCCCAACCAGTCTACATGTGCTTTGTGGACTTGGAGAAGGCGTTCGACCGCTTCCCTCGAGGGGCCCTGTGGGGGATACTCTGGGAGTATGGGGTACCGGGCCCTTTGATACGGGCTGTTAGGTCCCTATATGATCGGTGTCAGAGCCTGGTCCGCATCGCCGGCAGTAAGTCGGGCTTGTTCCCAGTGAGAGTTGGACTCCGCCAAGGTTGCCCTTTGTCACCGATTCTGTTCATAACTTTTATGGACAGAATTTCTAGGCGCAGCCAAGGTGTTGAGGGGATCCGTTTTAGTGGCCTTAGGATTGCGTCTCTGCTTTTTGCAGATGATGTGGTCTTATTGGCTTCATCAGATCGGGATCTACAGCTTTCGCTGGAGCGGTTCGCAGCCGAATGCGATGCGGCCGGGATGAAGATCAGTTCCTCCAAATCCGAGGCCATGGTCTTGAGCCGGAAAAGGGTAGAGTGCCCTCTCCGGGTCAGGGAGGAGGTCCTACCCCAAGTGGAGGAGTTCAAGTATCTTGGGGTCTTGTTCACGAATGAGGGAAAAATGGAGCGTGAGATCGATAGGCGGATAGGTGCAGCGTCTGCAGTGAAGCGGGCACTGTACAGGTCTGTCATGGTGAAGAGAGAGCTGAGTCAAAAGGCGAAGCTCTCAATTTACCGATCAATCTACGTTCCCACCCTCATCTATGGTCACGAGCTTTGGGTTGTGACCGAAAGAATGAGATCTCGGATACAAGCGGCCGAAATGAGTTTTCTCCGCAGGGTGTCTGGGCTCTCCCTTAGAGACAGGGTGAGAAGCTCGATCATCCGGGAGGGACTCGGAGTAGAACCGCTGCTTCTCCACGTCGAGAGGAGCCAGTTGAGGTGGCTTGGGCATCTGTTTAGGATGCCTTCTGGACGCCTCCCTGGTGAGGTGTTCCGGACACGTCCCACCAGAAGGAGGCCCAGAGGAAGACCCAGGACACGCTGGATGGACTATGTTTCTCGGCTGGCCTGGGAACGCCTCCGGATTCCCCCGGAAGAGCTGGCCCAAGTGGCTGGGGAGAGGGAAGTCTGGGCCTCCCTACTTAGGCTGCTACCCCCGCGACTCGACCCCGGATAAGCGGAAGAAAATGGATGGATGGATGGATGGATAGAAGGATTTCTTTTCACAAAAATGGCCTCCTTTACTCCTCTCTCAAACCATCGTTCCTCTCTATTCCAGGATGTGAACATCTTCATCCCTGAACGAGTGACCGGTGGCCTGGAGATGAGTGTAGACCGCTGAGTCCTGGCCTGATGGTGTTGCTCTTCTGTGCTGGGCCATCCTTTTGGCCAGTGGCTGTTTTGTTTCCCCGATGCAAGACTGATCACAGCCCTCCTGACACTGAACAGCATACACAACATTACTCTGTTTGTGCCGGGGGACTGGATCTTTGGGATGAACCAGTATTTGCTGTAATGTATTTTGGGGTTTAAAAGCCACTGGGACGTTGTGTTTAGAAAATAAACGTCTCAGTTTCTCTGATACTTCCGCAACATACGGAATGACGAATGGTCTGGGCCTGGGTTCCTCCTTTTCACTTGATGGCTGACTGGAGTCCTGTTTGGGTTTCTTCTCTGCTTTCAGGAAGGCCCAGTTAGGATATCCACATTGCTCTAGAGTCTGTCTTGTGTGGGATTTCTCCTTCTGCTGGCTTCTGAGTTAGTGGAGACACTGTCTGCTCTGTCCCCAGATATTTGGAAACATTGTAAGTGACAGAGTTAATCATGCTAACAATTAGTCTTAAAGGTACACGTTGTTTGTGGATTTTAGGTAAACCATACAGACTAGGTGTGGCCGGTTCAAATCCCAGTCTGGGGGCCTTTCTGGGTGGAGTTTGCATGTTCTCTCCATGCATGTGTGGGTTTTCTCTGTGTACTCCAGTTTCCTCCCACAGACCAAAAACATGCATGTTAGACTGATTGGTAACTCTAAATTGTCTCCAGGTGAGAGAGTGAATAATTGTTTGTCTCTATGTGTCCCTGTGATGGACTGGAGACCTGTCCAGGGTGTCCCCTGCCTCCCGCACAGTGTTAGCTGGACATGGGAACCACTGACCCCCCGACCAGAAAAGGAAAATGCGGATAAAAGATAATGGATGGATGGACTTTGAACTAGCGATTCACTTTTATTACCTCCCAGCTAGATTATAGTAACTCTCATGGTAACGGTGTTAGCCGGGCCGGCCTCTCATGACTGCAGTTAGTTCAGAACAATGCAGCTCGACCTTTAACACAAATAAATCTGCATGAACATCTCTCCAGTACTCGCTTATCTTTACTTGTTTTCTGTTAGTTTTAGAATTCCATCCATCCATTCATCCGTCCATCCATCCATCATCTTCTGCTCGTTCCTAAGTCAGGTTGCGGGGGCAGCATTTTGAGCAGGGACTGGATGTCCAGACATTTCTTTCCACAGTCATCTCTTCCAGCTCTTCTGGGAGGACCCCAAGGTGTTCCCAGGCCAACTGAGATACATAGTCTCTCCAGTGTTTCCTGGATCTTCCTCGGGGTCTCCTCCCAGTAGGACATGCCCGAAGCACCTCCCCAGGGAGATGCCCAGGAAGCATCCTTACCAGAAGCCTGAACCACCTCAACTGGCTCCTTTTGATATGGAGGAACAGTGGTTCTACTCTGAGTCTCTCCTGATAGCTGAACTTCTCACCCTGTCTCTAAGGGTGCATTCACACCAGCCCTGTTTAGTCCGCTTTAATCGAACTCTAGCTCGTTTTCCTAGAAAGTCTGGTTCATTTAGGGAGGTGCGAACGCACCATCGAACTCTGTCACGGAACAAAAAGGCGAACTCTGGCCCGGGCTAAAACCTAGGTCTCGGTCCGGTAGAAGAGAACTCCAGTGCAGTTTAAGTACAGTGTGAATGCAAACAGACCAGGCCCCGCTCCGCAGGACAAACAAAAACGCATTTCTCTTACCTTATATGGAGCCATCAGCTACCTTGTGTGGAAAAACAATATTCTCCATGGTCTTCTGTCTCATCTTCTGCTCATGCTAAGTCCATTTTTGAAAAAGGACAAAATATAACTCCTAAAACTGCTAAAACTTGATGCCACCTCATTTTTGTTTTTATTTACAGAAGAAGAAGAAGACGTGTCTTCAGAGGTTTTTGTGTCATTTCTTTCAGTAGTTCTTGGTGCAGCGCTCCCACAGGCGAGCGGGGGAATAGGTTGGTTCAACAGGTTGACTCGACTGCACAGTGCAGTGTGAATGCAAACGCACCAGCTCAAATGTAAACAAAATGTCATGAATATTGGTCCCAAACCGAACCGAGTCTACCGGACTATCTGGTGTGAAAATGACCTTAAGGGAGAGTCCAGCTACCCTGCAAAGGAAACTCATTTCAACCACCTGTATCCACTATCTCATTCTTTCAGTCACTACCCAGAGTTCATGACTATATGTGAGGGTAGGAACGTAGATCGACCAATAAACAGAGAGCATTGCTTTACAGCTCAGCTCCCTCTTCACCACAATGGACTGGCACAGAGCCCACAATACTGCAGACACTGCACCAATCGATCTGTCAATGTCACGCTCCATTCTTCCCTCACTCGTGAACAAAACCCCAAGATAATTGAACTCCTCCACTTGAGGCAGAACCTCAACCTCGACCTGAAGAGAACAATTTTTAGACTTGATATTTTGATTTTATTGATGACTTACAGGGCCCTGAATGGACAGGCTCTTATAGATCTGTCTGACCTCATGCAGCTTTAGGTGCAGTCCAGATCCCTTAGCTCTAAATGGTAAATGGACTGTATTTATATAGCGCCTTTCTATTTTATTTCAAGATACTCAAGGCGATTTACACTACAATCTGTGTCCTCATTTACCCATTCATACAGCACTCTACTAGATCTCTACA